CAGATTTCCGGTTGCAGTGGGATGTGGGTGTGGCAAGATAAACAACGCATGTCGCTTCAACATATGCCACCAAATGGTGCAATGCAGCGCATTGAATGTCACACATGCACATGCACACACACATTCGCTCACATGCACACACATATACACATGTATTGACGCCTCGATTTCGCTTTCTTTATATTTTTCCAGTTCGTTTGCACAATGTCGAAAAGTCTGCGCCCTCTTAAAATAACCATCGTCGGGGATGGCATGGTGGGCAAGACCTGCCTCCTGATAACCTACACACAGAACGAATTTCCCGAGGAGTATATACCGACTGTATTCGATAACCATGCCTGCAACATAACGGTCGATGATAATGAATACAATCTAACACTCTGGGACACGGCCGGGCAGGAGGATTACGAAAGACTGCGTCCATTGAGCTATCCCAATGTAAGTGTATAAATATGACTATATAAATAAACATATGTCGTATGGCTTATCTAATCGRTTTCCTTATAACTTCAATACAGACGAACTGCTTCCTATTGTGCTATTCCATCAGCAGTCGTACCTCTTTCGAGAACATTAAGAGCAAATGGTGGCCGGAGATTCGTCACTTTGGCACCAATGTACCCGTTGTTCTGGTGGGCACTAAGCTCGACTTGCGTATACCGAATTCGGAGAAATTTGTGACCACACAGGAAGGCCGRCGGCTGCGCAAGGAGATTCATGCCCATAGTTTGGTCGAGTGCTCGGCCAAGAAGAAGCTGAACTTAGAGCAGGTGTTTGAGGAGGCGGTGCGTGCGGTGGAAAAGAAGCCGGGAAAGACTCCACCAACGTGCAAAATACTTTAATTAAGTCCTATGCTTAATGTTTAATATTGTTATTATACGTAATTGTATTATGTAACTATGTAATTGTCTGATTAGCGAGCATTCGACTCGCATCTTCCACAGTGTGTGTGTAGAAAAATGTATCGTTATGCTTTAATTATAAGATGTAGTTATGGGAAAACAATATTTGTATGCGACCAAAGTGCATTTTTTATGTAAAAATCAAAACAAAACTTAGAAGTAAAGAATTGTTTGAATTTAAATGCGTACATAACAACGCCACAATATGCTGTGTATTATATATTTTCAATAAACACTAGTCATTAATATCAATATTGTTTTCCTTTAAAATTACATAGTAAGAATAATGAATGTGTTTAAATTACGCGGTTATGATGGTCATTTCAGAAAAGCACTGCTAACTTACAGCAATACTGCAAAATGTCGATCTGACTTTCTGGGAGGTATTTATTTTTTTTTTTGGTATTTTTTGATTGGTATTTAACGGTCACACTGACGCTTTGCAAACAGCGCTGGAAACTTACAAATTCATAAACAATGAACAGCGAAAAGGCTGAAAAAGCCAAAGTCAGCGCACAAATCAAACATGTGCCCAAAGATGCACAAGTTATTATGTCCATACTTAAAGAGCTCAACATCCAGGAGTACGAGCCACGCGTAGTTAACCAACTGCTTGAGTTTACATTTCGTAAGTAACGCAGCTGCATCACAGATTATTTTTCTATAAATAAAAAAAAAACGTTCATTGCTTCGGTAGGGTATGTGACTTGTATATTGGATGATGCCAAGGTATATGCTAACCATGCACGCAAAAAAACTATCGATTTGGAAGATGTGCGGCTTGCCACCGAGATGACTTTGGACAAGAGCTTCACTGGACCTCC